TTTATTATTTATCATCATTTTATTATACAAATAATAATAAATTTGAAATTCGTCTTATAATATCATCTAATTTAAATATCTAATTTACAACTACAACAAAAAATAATATATTGCATTATTTATAATGTAAATAAATTAATATATAAAATACAAGATTTAATTATCATTGTAATTAGTATAATTATTAGTTACAATATTATAATAAATGTGATTAAAAAACAGGGTATGCCCCTATCAAATAAATGAATATAATGTATAATAATTAGTGTTGATATAAATATAGAATTTAGTAACATAAATTTGCAATCATATTTTAATAAAATTAGAAAAATAAATAAAGAAATTCATATTTTCGATGTGAGATAATTGATAAAGCAACTTGAAATAAATTCTAAATTGGTATGAGCTAGTGTTATTTATCGCTCTTAAAATATCTCATAAACTAGTATCTTTCTTAATGATCTATAAACCAGTATTAATATTATTTTTTGTTTCTTTTAATATCCTATGCGCTAGTAAAATAATTTCATATAATTATGTTAATTTTTGTAAATTATTATATGAAATTTTATTTTTGTAATTATATACAATGACAGATTAATTATATGTACTTTATGTTTGTATACTATAAAAATAAAAATAAAAATAATTAATCTTAAAAAGATTAAATATTAAAAATAAATAAATAAAATTAATCTTAAAAAGATTAAATATTAAAAATAAAGAAATATAATTAATTTTAAAAATAACTATAGACCATTTTATTTGTCCTTATATGAGAGAGAGAGATTTATTTATAGAACCCACCTATCCCTACCTAATACAAACACTATATATAATTTGGAACAAATTGTAACTATTGTTTAAAATAAAGTGCACGCTTTTGCATCAACGTTGGGCTATAGAAATAGTCCCACATCGAAGTGATGTGGTATGTGGGACAAAGTAAACGTATATAAGCAATTGCAAAGCACAATCAACAGCGAGCAGGTTGATGCTAGGGCCACGTGTATGGACGTGTGTAGCTAACGTTAACAGTCACGGTTCCTAACATCAGTTTGGGGATGGTAGTGTTTTTATATTATTAAAATGGTACGGATGGGTCGAATCCCGTTTTTTCGTTTGAACCGCAACGGCGTAGCCTATATCCGTTTCGGATCGCCTGATTCCGGATAGGATCGGCGATTTTTAAACCACTGGTTATAACTACTTAAGCGCTGGCTAGATATAGATACCTCTTTGAACTTTCCCCAAACTTTTCTAAAATGGCCAGGAACACACATCCTTTGATGGATCTTAAGTATAATGAGTTAAGAAGCTTTACCATCTCTTCCATTGCCTCATTTTCATATTCCATAAACAAAGGCGATATTTTGGAAGAGCACTCCCTTTAAGCCAAATCACCGCACTTTCTTGTCAAACTAGAAAATACTTCATTTCAGTCCCCATGACAAAGTGAAATCTAACTCCCATAATCTCATCATGGTGGCTTAGTTTCAAAAAAAAGAAAAATCTCATCATGGTGGCTCCCAACCTGTTCGGGAAATCATGGTTTCAAGAGTTAGAAGACCTTCTCCTTGCTCAACACTTCCTCCATTTCCCTACCTGCCCAAACCTCTAGAATGGGATTCTGTTTTAAATAAAAGTAAAATAGCAATCCATGATCCATGGACACTCCAAGTACCAAACGTCATTGTATTTATCCTTAACCCACCTCTTTTTTTTTTGAATTAACTTGGGGCCTGGTGAGAATGGAAATCTAGATGTCACGTTGTGGCACCCACCACCCAAAGCACTTCTACCTAGAGCCGATTCGCTTACCCTATATATTTATTTTCACCCAAAAATTATCATCTTTAATGTGTAAATCAGAACACTCCTGCTTCACATGGTGTTCTCCCCCCCAATTAATTTTGTGAACTACTATAGAAGCTCTAAATCTGTTTCTTGAGCTCAATACCGTCCAGTATAGTACTGCATTGATTTTTCCTTAGTTCCTTGTCAAAATTGGAGAACTTTTCATCATACTGCTTATGGGTTTTCTCTGTCTAAACTTGTACATTGGTTTTGAATGTATCCAAGGTTGTCTTTCCTAGCTCAGAGTATGGCAAGTGCTGTTGATGCTGTTGGCGAGCCCATTCCAACTTCAGCTGTTCTAATGGCTGCCTCGAAGCATATTGCTAGCAAATGCAGGGCGGAAAACAGGGATTTTATAAATTGTAAAAGGAAAGATCCCAACCCGGAGAAATGCCTGCTCAAGGGGCAGGAGGTTACAACCTGTGTTTTAAGCTTGTAAGTGTACTCTTTAATTTATATTTTTTAGCTTTATTGTTTTGCAAAATGCATGAATGGGTACTTGTGTAGGTTTATGGGAGCTTTGTTATATGTTTTAATGACATTTTCTTTACCTATGCTAAATATTTGTTGCTAAAAAGTGTTGTTTTCTTTGTACATGGATCACTTTTGGACTTCATCAAATCATCCCCAAGTAATGCGTAATTTAAGGCTTCGCCATTTTCCTTGGCCCTAATTTTAGAAATCCCCTCAACGTACATGTCAGTAATAGTCACAAGTTGCTAGAGGGTGATTTTCAATTTTGCCACTCCGTCAAAACAACAGCACTTTCTAGAAACCCCAACATTTACAAGTTATTGGTGTTATAAATCACCATTATCTCACCTTTAACAATGAGATTTTGTGGTCTATGAGATTTCAGTCTTCTTGGCTGTAAGTTTGAAAAAACCCGTCAAATATTGGTATTCTTGAGTACCAATTTCTTGTTAGTAATATGTGTTGGCAAACCATGGATATCACAAATACCAATATCCAGCAAATTGTGGTCTTTTATAAATGCTGTTGCCTTGATGGAGGGGCCAAACTGGAAATTGCCCCCCCCAACAATTTCTGACCACATGAGACATGTATTTTGAAGTGCTGCTTAAAATTAGTAAAAAGAAAAAAGGAAAAATGTTAAATTCTGCATTTCATACCAATATCCAGCAAATTGTGATCTGGGAGACAGTGAAAGAAGTTGTTCACGGCCAAGGGAGAAGTCTATTTGGACCCCAAAACTGAGAAGAAATCTCGTGGATGAAGAATTGAGGCTTTAAAGGGATTATTACTTACAGAACTGCAAGAGTTCTTCTATGTGACTTCTAGCGAGGATAGTATAGTTTGTAGTGGGGCTGGTAGAAACTTGGGGATTTGGAGGCTGCCCGATGAGGGGAAGCTCAAGGCAGCTTCCCAGGGTCAGCTGGGTGAGGGGAGTGCTAAGATATCGCCAGAATAGTTTTGTCATGACTTACTCGAGCCCTTTGCCAAGATGGATTCAAATGAGGCTGAAGCAAGGGCACCACAAACAGGATTTCCATAAGGGAGCTCTAAAAATGTTACTGCAATGGCCAAGGAAACAGACCCTCCATGGAAGCGAAATAGTATTTTAGACGAGATTTTTGCATACTTTGGTAACCTCTCAGTCCTCGACACCAAATAATTGGGATAAGGTTTGGATGATGATGGACCTCTAGGTTACACTCCACTGGCGTCGGTAAACAAACAAGATGGCTGATCAATTAGTGAGGGATGGGATTAGAAAGTTGGCTTTAAGTACTTCTGTAGTCATTTAGGAATGTTGTAAGTACGAGAAATTTGGTTAAACATACTTGTAAAGCTTTACCATATCAATGTAAACATTCCTTAACTATTAAAAAAAGGGGCAAGTTTATATAAAGGCGAGGCTCTAAGCAATCAAATTTGAGCCTACATAAAAAATTTCACTAGAAGAGGTTGTTTTGATGCCCAAATATGTTCAAATCGATCATCTCGACATGGATATACATGGACATGAGAAAAAAATGGATTTCAAGTTTTGGAAATAGTGTATTTTGTACCACATTTTTTGACAGTCAATATTCAAGGTTTTCAAGTTTTCATAGATCTGTCGATCTATACTTTTTTTAAAGCTTTATAAATAAATACGAAAATATATTTTAAGGTTATCACAAAGATTTTCAATATTAAAACGATATTTCTCGACACTATTTGAAGGTAGGCTCTATACAACCCACACCCTTAAAAAAAGGATGGGTAGTTTTCCCAATGACAATGCCTTATTGAATAAAAAATTTATTTGTTATTTTTGATCCTGCAACTTCCATTTGCACTGCGTAGATAGCTGTTTTATTGTCGTCCAAGTCAAGTTATGCCAGCCTACCTGGCCAGGTCTTAAGCTCATCTCAGGCTGGCCCTGGTTTTGTGAGTATGTGGTTGGGTGCACGCGCATGTGTGTGTGTGTGAGAGAGAGATATGCTCTATACAGAGGGATCTTATGTGTGTGAGAGAGAGAGGTATGCTTTATACTGAGGGATCTTTTGCTTCAAAAGTATATTATTGCCTGGAAATTGACAGTATTTGAGAATCCAAGTTGTCTTTCCATGCTTGCAGGCTGAAAGGACTTCATCGGACGTGCGGGAAAGAGATGGATGCCTATGCAGGCTGCATGTACTACCACACCAATGAGTTTGAATTGTGTCGCAAGGAGCAAGAGCTATTTGAAAAAGCCTGTCCATTGTCTGAATAAGTGACTGGTTTGAGTTCGAATAATTTTGCTACTTCTTGATTGAGACAACTTTACTTTCAAACATGCACGGTTCTGATCTTACTACATTTCACAGCGATAGTGATTTGAGTGAGCATCTATTTGCATCATTGCGTGTGAATCTTTTACTCGCATTCTAAACTTTATGTAATGCCAGAATTTTTTCTTGCAACCGTCCTAAAATCTGCAAAATGTTTGATTGAACCTCTGTTTAATAGTCTCGAGATCTTCAGCCGAGAGGCCCCTGGTTGAGAGGTTGACAGTTCGGAAAATTGTTTTAACAGTTTGGAAAATTGAATTGATTGTTCATTTGTTTGTCAGTTTCCTAATATCTGAGATGTGACAACCATAAGATGTAATAGCTATTTTTTTTAACTTAACAAGTTATTTATTTATTTTTTATTGGTAGCTAGAAATTGCATTAGCAGAAATCTTGATTATACTTATAAAGAATGTTGAAGCACATAATAAACAACGTCGAAGATCTCCCTAGTTCTCGTGTTCTTTTTTATGTTGGTGGTTTGAGAAATCATTAATTCATTTTGTTAATCATCAAAGGAAATACAATTAAGTAGAAACCAAAAAGAAAACAGGAAACACTACAATGTAACCGGGATGCCTACTTCACGAGTTTCTCCATTGGCTTCTCTGTAAACATGCTTAGCTGAACAGCCAAACCTTGACATATATCATTGATTTAGAATCAAATGGATATCAAATTCCATTGAACTCTGCGCTTTTTTACATCATTTGATTGCATGAAGTTCCCCTCTACAATAACGGAAGAAGGCATATGTAGCCCCTTTAACATAGCAATCATTTGCTGGCCCCAAGTTAATTAGAGAGCTTATATCAAAATTCAACTGAATTCGCCTCATGGATAGTGGTCATAATATCAAGATTAAAGAGACCCTAACGTTCTTTTATTACTAGCACCTAGCTGGTCATTCTGAAAGATTTCTCTTAGTCTTAACACTCCCCTTAAAAATTCTCCTATTTCTTTCTTTTCCGAACCTCCCATGCAATTGTTGCTCTTGACCCTTTCCACACCACCTTACCAATATTTGAAATGAAATTAAGATGATTTACCACATTATTGGATTATCTAGGGCAATTAAGGTGAAGAAGGCCCAACTTATTTATAGCCATCGTACATACGATCTGCCCCCTTTTTCTAAGTGAATCCGCAAGAATAGTGTGTTTGGCAACGCGGAAAGTTATGGTGCGCCTTCGACTTTCCATGGTTTAGGCCATTTTCCACGGTTGACAATGTGGAAAATGAACCCATAGTCCAACAATTTCCTCTAATAGCATGGGAATGGGCCGTGCACCCTCCAACTTTCCGCACCATGGTGCGTATCGGTCCGTGTCGTTCCCATATAGGTCCCTACCCTCTCTCTCTCTACTGAGCTCTCGTTGTCTCACCTCAGCACTCCTAGTCTCACCTCTCTCTCTCAACAAAGCTTTCTGCCATTTAGCTTTGCATCAAGCTTAAAATCTTGGCAGTAATCTAATGGAAAAGTGATTTCTGCGAGGACGCATATCTACACTTGCTTCCACCCAGGCATCATATATCTGTCGTTAAGATTGATGTGGAGTGTGATTGTCCCTCCAAAAAAAAAAATAAAAAATAAAAATCAACGGTTTGAAATCTTTTCTCAAAAAAGTATTTTAAAATTTATTTATTTTACATATTAATGATCTCCATGTTAGAGATTATATATTTCTAAATTTTCCAAAATCCATCGCAAAAATGGATCACGAAGAATAGCCGCATATCTATACGAGTCCTAGGGCTCACATAACCATATCCTAATCTAATACATGTAAATCACTATTTTCATATCAAGATTGTTTTTCTATCATGTGTATTTTCAATAGGTACGCTTGAAGAGATTTTAGGTCCTTACCATTTGATCAGAAGTTATTATCAAAGATCAAATTTATTTTTGTACCGGTTAACCATTTCATCAGGTAAAAACTTTCATTTTCAGTGTTGGCCCTCTTAATTCCCTGAAAAATAATGGGGGTGATTTGGTCATTTTAAATTCTTGAAAGTATTTTTTTATATTTTTTATAGTGTTAATTGGGATGATGATGTTAATTGGTGTTAAGTATATACACTCAAAATTTCATCACGATCTGATTTTTAGAAAAAAGATTAAAATTCAGATAGTAACATGTATTTTGAACCACCCGATAAAGATCTGACTGTTGATATTCTATCGATATTATTCATTATAGGTGTCAAGCTATAATGAATTATGCAAACTATTTACAAGAACAAATGAGACATACAGAATTGTGCGAACTATCAATGGATCATGCTTATGAGCTATACTATGAAACTCTGGAAGAGAGTGATTGAGCAACGACTAAAGCATGAATCGATTGTATCTGAAAACGAATTTGGTTTTATGTTTGACATATAATATAAAACTTTTATGACATTGGACAAGTCTTAACTTTAGGGCGGTCCAATAATAAGGACATCGCACTGCTCCAAAAGAGACCTAAAACTTAAGTCACGGCCGTACTATTCGAGAAAACCAAAAAAATAAAATAAAAATGGCCCGATGTTACATGTTTCGATGGTGGTAACATCGGGCCGAGGGAAAAACTTGAAAAAAGAAACAAACATTGGGTACGGAACCTTGGGTAAGTTTTGCAAAAAAAAAAAAAAAAAAAAAAAAAA